CAGCAACACATGGCTCATGGACAGTTTGATTCTGGGGCAAGATTCGGAGCTGGAGCTAGTATGAATATTCCCGTAAGTATACATGTATAATTTGATTCTAAAAATGCAGAGTAATGAATAAAACCAAATACAAATGGAAGAAAAATGCAAACAGAATTATTCTGGTTTTGCATGAACTGATAAAACTCGTACATATCAAATAATGTGTACCTTAATTTATACATTTATTCCAGCCTCCTCCTCCTGGTGTGATGCCTACGCACACTCAAATGGCCGCAGCACATGGACAGCCTGTTGCTATGCAACAACCAAAGGCTGGATGGTTGGAAGGAGCTCGTGGTGGTGGTTACACATTTTGGTGAAATGTTGCATTTGAATTAAGACTTGTTCATAATTTCTTATTTGTGGATTTATATAGACATAGTGGAGCATTTTGACTGCATTTACTGTATATATGTACACAAATTGCATCCATTAAATTTGAGTGAATATGAGGGTAGCGGTCAAATTATGTATTCCATCAAATGAGATTTTGTGATTAAGCACATCAGCACAATGTTATAAATACATGGCCATCAATTGAATACGAATATAAACAAAATTTGTGAAAATAAGTTAGTGTTGTAATCAATGTAGTGTTGTAATCGTAGTTAAAATTTTGGAAATAAGTAGTATATATTTCATATAATCTCAAACGTAGTTACTGTAGTACAGTATATTGTAGGTAGCATGCAATTGCCTGTAACTGTCGTGTATATCTGATGTCGAATTACTGTTGGAAGACGAAGTAACTGACGGAAGTAACCCTAATCACAGCCCTATCCCTAACCTTAAAGGTCCAGACACACCGGACGCGATTCGACAACGCGACGCGATTTTTCGATTTTCACTGACCGATAACTTTGATCCTAGTTTAAATTTTCCAAATATTTAGAAGCGCTATAACATTTTGAGTTATTTGGTAGACATATCTTTTAAAATTTGCTCTCATTGGTTGCTTTATTAACTTTCAAAAACTAAAAAATCGCGTCGCGTTGTCGAATCGCGTCCGGTGTGTCTGGACCTTAACGGTTGTGATCGTAACATAACGATATATAACCCAAATAGTGATTGACTGATTGTCCCACAATCCGAAATTACCGATCGAAAATTATTCATGCAACGATATACCCGATACCGTTTTTTTTGTTTTGTTTTTTTACCGTTTTTTTGTTGTTGTTTTTTTTAAGGTGAGCGAAACAATATCTCTCCGTTGCAATAATTCCTCTGAAAATAACGTTCCTAAAAGGTGCGGATAGGTGTCTTTTTACGTCGCTACGGAAAACTATCCGGTACAAGTGTAAACGTAGCCTTAGTGACATCGTAATGTCAGTCGACCGAGTCACAGAATAAAGACATACAGAAGTGTATCTTCTTATTAAAAGTGCGTAAGGGATTTTTTCAGTCCGCCATGTTCTTAGCAAGTGCGCTAAAGAGAGGCAGTCACCCCCCTGAAAACATATTGAAAATTTAATATTCCAGGGGGGTGAATGCCTCTCTTTAGGGCACTTGCTAAGAACATGGCCG